GGTATGGGCTTTCCCAAAATATCTCCCACATGGGCCTATTCTTGATGCCTGAAATTCCTTTGTAGTTGATGCCAGTCCAAAATGCAAAGAAAACCTATAGAACTCTTCATCTTAATTAAGAACACTATTTATTATAAACTAGCCTTTTAGGTCCTTTGAATTCTTTATAGTGTAACACATAGCTAGAACATGTTTGAAGAACATGTTGAAAATTGAGCTCAGAGACAAGGAAAGACAGGAATACAGATATGAATACAAAAGTGGTTTCAGAGGCAAGATGAAAGAGCAGGGTACAACCCTTGGGAAAAAGTGGAAGGTGCTACAAAAATGAGAGGCAGGGATGCATAAATAGGGTTTTATAAGGAAAATAAGGATAAACCTTTCCCTACTCTACGTTACATAGGGCTGGTTATAAAAGAAACCAGCCCTACTTATAAAAGAGAAGTAATCTTAGAAATAAATTTTATGGTATCATTAGCTAAAATAAATATTTAAGACAATAAAAAACTTTGATTTATATATTTATATATATAAATATATATTTGTATTTAAGAACTAAAATTTTCCCCCCAAAATAACCTTACAGACCTTTCAATTTTAACATCCACTTATAGAAAATTTGAAAAATACTACAAAGTATACACAAAGATTAAAATCATCTCTAATTCCTTCAGCCTGTAATACCATTGTTAACACTGGGGAGGGATGTTGACTTTTAGGTTTTATCTGAGTGTAAAAATATATATATAACAAAATTTGGATATTACATTGTTTCATATCTTCATTTTTATGTAATATTATATTGTGATCATTTTTCCCTGCCACTTAATACTCTTCATGGTTTTAAGGTCATATTATGAAAACTAGTGGTTTCTTAGTGTTTGTTATTTTGGTGAATTCTTTTGATTTTAAACCTACTTCTACAGCAAACTAAGGAAAATTATTTGACACTCCCCTCATCTGAAAAGCATATACCCAGCACGGAATGCAGTCAAGATTTTTGCTCTGAATTAAAGAGTCTGAAAAATTTTCGTGATTTCTCTTATTCAAAACATTTAACTGGGAAAGTAAACAAATAACTGTTAAAACTGAAAAGGGTCCAAGTGTTGGATCTCTGTTTGAACCAATATTGCAAAAGGCAGACACATGTCACAGTACTTACACTGTGTGTGTAAAATACTGTTTGGCTTTTAACTACAAGTGACGTTCAGAAATTCTGGCCCCTTTAGGCCTAGGAGCCAAATTAGGCCCTTGGTTTAGTATCACTCAGCTGGTCTTCGGACTTTTTTTTTTTTTTTTTTTAAAGACACAGTGTCTATTTCCTGCCCCATCCTTCAAAGACATAAGAGAGAGATGCACACACACGTGTGTGTATGTATAAATATTATTTGACAGAAGTATCCAGTGATGAGACTTGAGGGCTGTTCTTACTTCCATGGCATTATTTGGGAAAGAAGCAGGAATTAGTCCCTCTGATGACAAATTTAGCACTAGAAGGAAGAAACAGAACAAGCAGCAAAGTGAATATGGTGAGAAAGAAATGAGAAGCTTAGGGGAACATATGGAGATGTCCAATCTATCCAATACTGTACAAGGCACGGGCTGGGCAGATGTTAACTTAGGGATGAAGGAGTCCTTAAGGAAGCAAGCTGGTCGGCCGGGCGCGGTGGCTCAAGCCTGTAATCCCAGCACTTTGGGAGGCCGAGGCGGGCGGATCACAAGGTCAGGAGATCGAGACCACAGTGAAACCCCGTCTCTACTAAAAATACAAAAAATTAGCCGGGCGCGGTGGCGGGCGCCTGTAGTCCCAGCTACTCAGGAGGCTGAGGCAGGAGAATGGCGGGAACCCGGGAGGCGGAGCTTGCAGTGAGCCGAGATCGCGCCACTGCACTCCAGCCTGGGCAACAGCGTGAGACTCCGTCTCAAAAAAAAAAAAAAAAAAAAGGAAGCAAGCTGGTCAAGAGATGAAAGGTTCATAAAAAGAATAGATGGACAGTAGATATTGGTTAGCCATAGAGGATAGAAGTCAAATGTGCTTTGGTATCCTAGGAAATTTGGTTTACTTAGGAAGAGCATATGTCTAAGGTTGAACAAGCAGGATTCAATTTTTACTGAGGACCTACTGTGGTTTATACACTTCATAAATGTTAGCTCATTTCCTTCTTCACAACATAAGTGCTATTTATTTTTCTTGTGCAGATGAGGATACTGGAAAATCTGAGTGATTAAGAAACTACTTCAAGGGTACACAGCTAGTAAATGGTAAAAACAAGATGCACAGATAAGTCTTTCTGCAAAAATTATATGCCTTTTCTACAACACCAAGCTGAAAAGAACTTCAGAACTTAGTCTAATACTTTTAACAACATTATAATTTCATAAAGCAATCTACTTTCAGCTAACACAAAAGAAAGATACATTACGTGCAACGAACAGTACAAGGGTGGGAAGACATTTAGAACAGCAATATCATTGAAAAAATTTAAACATAATTATAAATCATTTTCAGTAAAATAACAGTGTCTAAAATTTCAAAGCATTTCTAGAAACAATCTGAAGAGTGCTCTTTTGGTCTAATGAGAAAGTTTTCATTATTTTCCCCTCAAAAGTGATTTGGTATCAATCAATCATTAGAGTAATTCATACAACAAAGACTTTCTTCCTCCTCAAAAATAACCAGTGTGTTTTAAATTTCAAAGTCATTTTGACAGAAAGTATGAATTAAATGAACTTAAAAGTTCCAGAGTTATTTTACTTTTAAGCAGTAACATGCCCTTATAAGGGCAGAAATAGTACACAGTACATTATACAGATGTATTTTCTATTAGCATATTCAAAGGGTCAACTACAAGAGTAACAGATGATGTTTCATTTTAGTTACATTTTTGAGAGAGTTCGTTTTGTTTAGGATTTATTATTCAAAGCCAACACAGAATTTTTTATTTTACTTTTTTAAAATGTTTAAATGGTGAAAACCCTACTTTAGGGTAATATAATCAAGATACATATAATAAGGAAAATACTAATAAATAAAAGCTATACTACTGGTTTCCCAAAACGCAATGTTTTTGAACATCAGTGGAAATTGTGGATGCTTATTATGAAATCTTAAGAGTTCCGAATTTTGATTATGAAAAGTAACCACATTTGATCATCTTTTCAATGACTTTCAGGTGATACACGCTTTGTGCTTTAGGGAAGCAAGAAAATGTTAGGTCATGTAATTCAATTTTACTTAACGCATAATAAAATCTGGATTTAGAAAACAGAATAGGGGTTTATTTGCAGTATTGAAGGTTAGCTGTCTTTACAATAAAATTGACTTAAACATTCAAGTATCTGCACATCCTAGTTCCTTTAAATTAAGAATACTCAAGAGTTACCCGGTGGCTCACGCCTGTAATCCCAGCACTTTGGGAGGCCGAGGCGGGCGGATCACTTGAGGTCAGGAGTTTAAGACCAGCCTGGACAACATGGTGAAATCCTGTCTCTATTAAAAATGCAAAAAATTAGTCGGGCGTGGTGTCGCACACCTGTAATACCAGCTACTCGGAAGGCTGAGATAGGAGAATTGCTTGAACCTGGGAGCCGGAGGTTGCAGCCAGCTGATATGGTGCCACTGCACTCCAGGCTGGGCAACATGTTGAGCGAGGCTCTGTCAAAGCAAGCAAGCAAGCAAGCAAGCAAGCAAGCAAGCAAAGGAAAGAAACAGTACAGGATAGGACAGGACAAGAAAATAAAGAAATTTACTCTCTTATATAAATCCACCTCATACTAGCAACTTATTTGAACACCTGCAATAGACGTAATCAAACTTTCCAATAATGAGAACATCCTGCACATCCACAGATATTTTCAGGAATTGAGGCACAACGGTATAACATAAACCAAAAAGTCCACAAGGCGCATTGTCCGTCACACATAAATTGTAAATTCAGTTCAAATATTCATTCCCAGTATTTCAACAACAACGATTTTTTAAATAAGAAAGTCATTCGTCAAAAAAGAGGCTGGTGCCTCCAAAACAAAGCTCCATCTAACTCCTGAGTCAATGATATGAAGTACCCGAGACGGACCAATTTTTTTCTTTTTTTGTCAATATTTAATCTGAGGCTTTGGAAGTGGAAGAAATCTTAAAATAGCCACTAGTCTTGTTTCCAGCCTTCAGGCAGCTGAAATGTAATCCCCAGGAACACAGACCCTCCCTTCAGGGAAACGTGTATGTGTGTATGTTTGTGTTTAAAGGCCTATAGCAGTCAGAGATAGGATCACTGCCGTTTTAGTATATTTTTAAAAAAAATTCTACTAGAGAGGAAAGAATGACACAATTTTCTTCGTCACAGGAAGGTGGGCCTGGGGGATCCCAGCCACCTTCGCAGACGCTAAGTTATGGAAAGCAGCCAAAACTCTGTATCAGGATGAGGCTCCCCATGGGTTCTATGGAAACGAGAGACGCGGGGGGCCTAGTGCCTTCCAGGCTGCGGGCCGAGCTGCAGAGCTGCGCAAGCAGGAGCGGGGGAAGCGGCTCAGCCCAGTACTGCAGACAGGCGCTCGGTGGCAGTCCCCGCAGCGGCACGGGCGAGGCGTCGCGGGATCTGCAGCCGCAGCCCACCAATTCCGGCGCCGAGAGCGAAGTCGGGAGAACTGCTGCTAGAAAGCGCAAGAGCCGCCGGACACCGCTGCCGCTCACCCCAGCCGCTCCCTTCCTAGCCTTGCAGCCTGCAGGCAGAAACTTCGGAGGTACAGCCCGGGGAGGAAACATCCCCATAGAGACAGAATACACTGTGTCTTCCTAGCTGAGCCCCTTTACCTTCCCGGCCGAAGTGTCTGAGATGCTTCCTTCGGTGGCGGCGGCGGCAGGGGCGACGACTGCCGATGCAGCACTCAACTGCTTCACTAATCCGGGCTCTGGGAAATAATTTCCCGCCGCGCGCTAGGCAGCCCCGGAAGCGATAGTACCATTTCCGGGTGGTTGTCAGTGACGCTCTGGAGCCGTCGCCAGGGTGGTAATATCTGGTGCCGAGCTTGAGTCTGGCCAGCGAGTCAGGCTCCTGCTAGATCAGCACCGGAGGTGGAGGACTGGTAAGTGATTTTACTGGGTTTTCTGCTGGGTCTGATATTAATGGCTGGCCGGGGGTCTGTGCAGCATTTTGGCCAGCCGGAGAAATGAGTGGGCGAGGGTTGAACCAGAAGGAGTCCCCATCCAACCCCGTGTCGCTTGACACCCAGTGCAGCTGGAGAAGGCCCTGGGATCCCGGCTTACCGTCTCATCCACTCGCAAAATCTGTCTCCAACTTGGAACTCGACCTCGGGTCACCAAGTGTCCCTGGGCGAGGCCGAAGACACCGTGTACCGTGACTCGGCGTTGTGCCGAGTTTCTCTGCCCATGATCAACGAGTGTCCTATCTCCCATTAGCAGCGTTTGGCCACTCTCGATTCCTGAGTACTGTTTCCGTAGTTCTGGGGTGCCGTGCCTGGAAGGCAGGAAGTTGGCTGAAGAAGACATCTTTTACAAACATTTGGGAAGTGAGATGGGGAGGTTCCTTCCTGATTTAGAATTAATTGAAGGTTCCTCCCGCCATTTGAATTGGGTGACAAGAACCGTCTTTGTTTTCCTGGCTGAGACGTGAGAGAACAAGCCTGTAATTTCATGCTTGGGCATTAGATGCATTTTTGGAAAACAGTGACCTGTAAGTAGGTGCGCTTTCAAAAAGGAATGCTTGCGCTCTGCCCCAGGCTTTGTCGATAATGAAGGATTCAGGAGAATTGTGGATGGAGGTCTGAGGTAGCCAGAATAGTTGTAAAGAGAAATCGCTTCCGACAAAGGGATAATGTGAGGAAAGGTGCTCATTTAAGATTTGAAAGATGTGATGTAGTGAACCTTGGCGACTTCTCTTAAGTAATGCAATTTCTTAGGTAAGTAGTTTTCACGTGCCACCTTGTGTTTAAGTAATTACCTCCCCACCAACCCCCCGTAAAAGGCAACTGTTATTTTTTCAAAACAGTCAGTTCCCAAAAGAGTTGTAGGTACTATTGCATTTTTCTTTATGTATTGCATAAAAACATTTTCTTTATCGGAGCATACCCATAAAGAAAAATGCAGTATGTTCAATTCAAGGCCCCTGTTACACCAGGCCAGTGCCTTCTTACCTTTTGAGAATAATGCAGCCAAACCATATTTAGGATAGCACATTGATTTTCTAACCCAGTTGGTTAATAATTCAACAAACTTATAATCTCCCCATTAATCCCAATTTTGACATTTTGTTGAATCTTGTATTTTTTGTTTATTTCTCCAGTTGAAAGTATTATAAATTACTTCAGGGATACTGTATATTTTATCCGTACAACAACTAGTTTTTAGAGGCAGTGATTTATCTCTATTAATTGTTCTTGAATGTAGCCAATCATTAATACCCAGAGTAGATACTGTCTGCCAGGCACTTCACATTTATTATTTTATTTAATGCTTAACAAAATCACAAAAATTGTATTATTTCTATTTTGCAACACCTTTTATAGTGAGACTCAAAGAGGTTGTGATTTTCCATAAATTATACAATTAAATGGCACAATTAAAATTTGAATCCAGTCTACCTGACTCTACATTTTGGCTCTAAACTGTGCTCTATACCTTTATAAGTAAACATAATAGCATCATTATTTTCACTCCCAGGTAAAAATGGATAGCTAGTATGTCACATTCAGAAATCAAGTGGATAGCAAAGCTTGAGGATAAAAGGGACTTCAGGGATGTGTTCATCACCATAAGGTAATTTTGACATGTAAATCATGCAGTTTCTTTACTGCCTTTATCCTTGGCCAGTTTTATTATCCTAATTCAAATAAATGCCTATACTGTACATTGTCATAACACGTGGGGCAAATACAGAAGATCTGGAGACCATCAGCAAGCATATTGGTGACTCTGAGTCCACAGTATCAGCTAACTATCTCTTTAGGCAGCTTTTCACACACACATTTGTATACATGTATATTTGTGTGTGTGTGTGTGTGTGTGTGTGTGTGTGTAGGGAGAGAAAATGAGTAAATGAGCACAAATTCATAAAATTGAACTCTGTAATGATTTATAAGGAATTATTAGCAAAACTGTGCTGTTCTACTCACACAATCCTCAAACAGATGGGGATTATCACATAGTTTCAGGGAATATGCTTAATTAAACCTGCCCATCCCAATACCCTATTCTATTTAGAGAAATAGAAATAGCCTAATTTTCAGAGAATTTATAAAAATTTAGTTGAAATGACCGATACTAGAAATGACATAGAACTTAATTCTAAAGAATATCCTGTTTTACAACTATATAGGTATAGCTAGCCTCAAATACTAATGTGTATTTGATTACATTGCATTGACTTGTAGGCAGATCTTTGCATTGACTTGTAGACAGATCCCATAGGCAGATCTCAGGGATATTTTGCTATCAAATTTCAGTGCTTATGAAGGTTGAGATTATGTCTGTTTTATTCATCATCTCATACCCAGCATCTAGCACTGTGCCTGGCGTGTAATAGAAGCTCAATAAATAAGTCAGGAACCATGACTCATGACTGTAATCCCAATACTTTGGGAGGCTAAGGCATGAGGATTTGAATCCAGGTCCTCTAAATTTTGGCTCTTTTTACTGTGTTCTATACTTCCTCTAATAAATAAACATAGCTTATAGTGAACTATGATCACACTACTGCACTCTAATCTGCACAACAGAGTAAGATCCTGTCTCTAAAAAATAAAAAATAAACATTTATTGAATGAATGATTCCTTTTTAAAATGTTATTTATCCACTGAGAAGTATTTGTACATTTTTTAAAGGATTTACCACATAAATAAATATTTATTGTTACTCACCTTGACCCTGAAATACAGTGTCCACTCCACACTCATTCATAAAAGGCAATGTGCTGTTCTGTAAAGACGACTGGACTGTGAGACAGGAGATGAGAAAATATCTAATATTTTTTCTGTGTTTATTCTCTGCTATTCAGTGTTAAATTACTCCTCACAGCACAATAGGTAAGTGTTATCCTCCTTTTACAGATACGAAAACTGAGGCAAATATAAGCTTTGTAAATTGTCCTAGGTTACACATAGTCATTAAACACAGCTATGATTTGGATGAAGGCCTGTGACCCCAAAAGTGATCATCTTAACCACTTTGCTATACAGCCTCCAGTTGAATTTTTAATCCTGGATCAGCTGCTAAATGTGTGCAAAAGCAAATTTATTTCTCTGGGTATCTTGTTTCTCATCTATAACATACAGGAGTTTGATGGATTAGATTATCTATAAGGTCCTCCTACCTCAAAAATCCTCTGACTTTAGTTGACTCCCAAGTATTATCTGAATATAGCAGTTCTAGTGTGCCAGAAAACCCTCATCAATTTTGATGTGTTTCATATGAGCTTTTATATGTGTTCACGTCTTCCACAATGGTGGACACAGAATCATGTTGTTGCAATAGGAAGAATAGAGTTAAAAAAAATCACAGTAATGCTTTTTTTTTTTTTTTTTAAACCAGCTATGACACTACTAAGTCACTGAACCTTTGTGAGCTTATGTTTTCATGTGTAAAATGGATCCATAGGATTGCTGTGAGGGTTAAGTGAGTTGACATATAAAGCCTCAAACATGTCTGATACACAACTGCTATTAAATAAATATTGATTCTTTTTCTTGCTCAGTCTTGCAAGGATAAAAGATTAGTGGATATAAAAATGCTTTATAAATTAGACAAAGGTGAAGAATTTTTTCACTTAGAGTCTACTAGGAGAGATAAAGTTATATACAAAAATAATTATATGTGGGGCAATTCACATACATCATTGAACACAAAGCATGATGGGAATGCAAAGAAAAGAGATTTTTTTTTTTTTTTTTTTTTCCAGGAGGTCAGATGAGGAAAGACCTCATAAAAAAGGTAATATTGAGTTTGTGCCCTATAGGATGGTAAGGATTTTGGCAGGGGAACAAGAGGGAGAAGTGTTCTACTGGAAGATGCAAAGGTGTCAGAAAACAGAAATAGTACCTAGGTCACTTTGGATATGTAAGATGGATGAAGGCTGGTAATAAAGCTAAGGTAAAAAGCTGAGCTTAGGACAAGCTGTAGATAACTGTGGGCAAGTTAAAGATGTTAGGCATTTAACAATAAGCAATCTGTGTGTATAACTAGGATGGGGTGGAGGATGGAGTTGGCATTTGTTTTCTTTGTTATGGAAAAATGCCCATTTGTTACAGAAATATTAGAGTGTTAAAAATATGCCAAAAAGGAAAGAAAAAGGAAGAGTGGCCCATGATCCCACCACTCAGAAATAACTTATGATTTTTCTCTGTATTATTACAGATTTTCATATATGTGCTTTTAAAATAAAAATGAAATAATACTATCTATATTGTCTTGTGACCTGCTTTTTTCAATGTGCTACGCCGTGAATTTTCCCATGTCAGTAAATTTGCTTCTATAAAATAATATTTAGGGCCTGCATGCTATTCAATTTTATAAATATGTAAAAACTTTTAAACTGACTTCTTTCTGTTAAGTAATAGTACAATAAAGATTTTTATAGTAAAATATTTAGACATATTCATATCTATTTTCTTATTACAAATTGTAGAAGGAGAAATGGTGACCCACGGGTTATGAACACATATAATACTACATGTATTACCATATCAATCATATTTTTAATTTAAACTTGGTGCAAAATTAATGAGGTATGAAAGGGTATATAATGAGGCATTAGCCGCCCTCTCACCTTGTTGTCCTCCTGATTCACAGCTAGCCCTAATAGCACCTTGTGTGATTAGAAAAGGGCACCCCCTTCTGGAGGATCCGTAACTCTTGGATATATAGTGTGTAACTGATGGTACTTTTTTTTTCTGTACCTGTGCACAATGTGCAGGTTTGTTACATATGTATACATGTGCCATGTTGGTGTGCTGTACCCATTAACTCATTTACATTAGGTATATCTCCTAATGCTATCCCTCCCTGCTCCCCCGACCCCACGACAGGCCCCGGTGTGTGATGTTCCCCATCCTGTGTCCAAGTGTTCTCATT